GAGAGGTCAAAAATAAACCAGTCAACAAAGCAAGTTTGATTAAAATTATATACAACTCCCTGTTCAACCTACCATGCATAAAAATAGAATAAATCTGTGTAGTAAAAAGCTACATTTAACATTAAATTTTAATAGAGTTACCAAATATCTACCTCTTTATCAATAAAACCTCTTATTATAACACAGTAATGATTATTACACAGGCATAGCAAAACATCCAGTGAAATATTCTAGCAATGACTGGAGGTTTTACTAAATATGTACAGGGAGTGACATCAGCAAGACAGTGGAATAGAAAGCCTCAAACCCTCTTTTCCCTGTGGAAACACTGACTTAACAACACCATACAAACCAAGTTACCTCTGTAAGAACTCCAGAAGTCAATTAATTATGCAGTACCCATGCAAGCAAAAGCTAAGGAAGGTGACATCAGTGTATGTAGGAAAGTTCATTGCTTTTTGGCCACCTTAGCTCCTCCCTGACCCTAGTGCAACATGGAGTAATTCGGAGGAAAATTCCCAACTTCCAGCTTTTCCCTAAGGAGGGAAAGAGAAGAGGAAAATGTGCACCCAATGTTCTGGCTTATGGGGGCTGCCCAAGCAAGTAATTTGGAGTGCTAGCAGGAAGATGATATAATCTGGATGCCAGTCTGGGGGCCACTGAAAACAAAGGAGAGCACAGGGGCTTGTTATGGCATCAGGAAGACGCAGCACCTCAGATGCCATGAGGAGGAAGAGATTACTGTATAGACTTCTGAGAAGAAAACAGGAGCAGGTCCTATTTCATTAACTGCGAAATTACATGCACAGGCCAGAGAAGTTGCATTCCCAGCAAAGGTTTGAGAGGTCCAAAGAATCACTATTCAGGCTGATTGGAAAAGATTTTCCCCTGCATGAAGCCAGTCCATAAACACTGAGAGAAGCTCTCTTTCCAAATGCCCAGATCTCAATGAAAGAACACAAGGCATCAAAGAAACAGTAAACATAGCCCAATCAAAGGAGCAAAATAGAGCTCCAGAAATCCACAATGAAGAAAAGGTCTCCAAATTACCTGACAAAGAATTCAAGATAATCACCTTCAAGATGCTCAGTGAGCTAAAACATCATACAAACAGACAACTAAAAAAAAAAAAAAGTCAGGAAAGGGATTCATGAACAATATAACAACAGAATTAGAGAAATAGAAACTATTAAAACTTTCTATTTCTAGAAACTTTGGACCTTACAAATGCAATAAATGAACTGAAAAAATTCACAACAGCAGACTTGATCAAGTAGAAAAAAAAATCAGTGAACTTGAGGGTAGATCATATGATACTATCAAGTCAGAAGAGCAAAAGCAAAAGAGAATGAAGAAAAGAGACAAGCCTAATGGAACACCATCAAGCAGATGAACACATGCACTATGGGAATCTGAGAAGAACAGAGAAAACATAGCTGAACATTTCCCACATGTGAGGAGATAAATGGACAAAAAAATTCAAGAAGCTTAACAAACTCTGAATTGGATAAATCCAAAGAGACTCTTGCTAAGACACATCATAACTGAACTGTTAAAAGTCACAGAGAGAATCTTGAAAGCGGCAGGAGAAAAGTGACTCGTCATATACAAGGGAGCATCCACAGAGGATCAGTGAATTTCTCAGCAAAAATTTTGCAGGTTGAAGTAAGATGATATATTCAAAGTAGTGAAAGGAAAAAAAAATCTGCCAATCAAGAAGACTACATCTGATAAAACTGTCCCACAAAATGAAAAATAAGTTAATCCCTTCCCAAATAAACAAAAGTTGAGGGAGTTTGTTGACACTATACCTGTATTAGACATACTAAAGGGAGTCCTTCAAGTCTAAATGAAAGAATGCTAGACAGCAACATGAAACCACATGAAAATATAAAGCTTTTTGGTAAAGGTGAATATAGGAACAAATATAAAATACAGTAATATTATAATGATACATAAATCACTTTTAATTATTTCATAAATTTTCAGCCTGGGCAACAAAGCAAGACCCTCATCCATACAAAAAAAAATATTTTAATTAGTTAGGTGTGGTGACATGCATATGCAGTCCCAGCTACTCAAGAGGCTAAGGTAGGAGGATTGTTTGAACCCAGGAGGTCGAGGCTGCAGTGAGCTGTGAGCACACTACTGCACTCCAGCCTGGGTGACAAGGTGAAACCCAATCTTAAAGAAAAAAAATTTATTTATACACACCACATAATTATATTAAAATATAAAATACATAACATATACATGTAATTTATATACACATAAATTATATATATACATTTTAACAGACAAAAGCGTAAAAGTGACTATAAATCTATATTAATGATTTATAATAACATAACAATATAAAAAGATGTAATCTGTGATGTCAATAACATATATGGGGGCACGGAATTATAAAATTCAGTCTTTATATGTGATTGAAATTAAATTGCTATTAGATAAAAACAGATTATTACAATTTTAAGATGATATGTGCAATCCTCATGGTAGCACAAAGAAAATACCTACATAAGATACACAAAAGATAATGAGAAGAGAATCAAAGAATGTCCCTACAAAAAAAAAAATCTATATAACACAAAGGAAGGCAATATGAAAGATCCTCAACATCACTAATCATTACAAAAATGCAAATCAAAACTACAAGATATTACTTCATACACATTAGAATGTATACTATTTAAAAAAAAAAAACGAAAATAACAAGTGTTGACAAGGATGTGGGGAAATTGGAACCCTTCTGCACTATTGATGGGAATGTAAATGTAAATTTCTGTAGTATGGCCACTACCGAAAATAGTATGAAGGTTTCTCACTTCTGGGAATATATCCAACAAAATTGAAAGCGGGAACTCAAAGAGATATTTGCATAGCTACATCACTGCAGCATTGTTCACAACAGCCAAGGGATGAAAGCAAATCCAGCATCTATTGACAGATGAATGGACAAACGAAATGTGGTATATATATTCAATAGAAAATTATTCAGTCTTAAGAAAGGAGGAAATAAGCTAATTACCAAAAATCAAATACTTTATGGTTCCATTTATCAGCAGTATCTAAAATAGTCAAACTAATAGAAACAGTAAGCAGAACTGATGATTGCCAGGAACAGCGGGGAGAGGCAAGTGGTTATTGTTTAATAGGTATAGAGATTTTGTTTTGTAAATGAAAAGCTTCTGAAGATCCATTGCATAACAGTGTGAATACACTCAACACTACTGAACTGTACACTAAGAATTAAGACAGTAAATTTATGTTATGTTTAACACAATTTTTAAAAATGACTATACAACTTTGAAGATAGTCTAAGGAAGAAATGACATAACTACAAAATAGTTACGTCATAACTACATAATAATAGTAGGCATAAAAGTTCGTCAAAAATATAGTAAGCAGCTCTCAGATATGGGCAAGCTTACTGCAAACAAGCAAACTGATTTAAGGGGCAGTTGCAAATACAAGCCTGCCTATTTATAGTATAGCATGGATAGCAGTCCTGTAGATCAAGTCTGAAACACATAAATCATTGTTGTATTTAAACTCACAAACACTGTCAGAGCAGAGGGACTAATACCAAGTGATTTTTCTATATATTTGGTGTATAATAAATGGTTTCAACCAGCACTACCAATTATAAATGACAACTCAATTGTTATATCAAAGTATATAATGTAGGGAACTTGACCACATTCATTATTTTAGAAAACTTTCTAATTATGGCTAGGCAATGATGCTACTCAACAATATATCTGCCACTCCTCCCTTCCACATACAGAGGAGAATTGTGTGCCTCTAGCCCCTTGAAGTTAGGTTAGGTTTTGTGGTTTGCCTTAGCCAGTAACATGACAGTGATAGGTTATTACTGCTACAAAGACACGTTTAAGAGCAAGCATGGGATTCTACACTGTATTAGTCTGTTTTCATAAAGAACTGCCCAAGCCTGGGTAATTTATTAATATAAAGGTTTAGTTGACCCAGTTCCACATGGCTGGGGAGGCCTCAGGAAACTTACAATCACAGCAGAAGGTTAAGGGGAAGCAAGGTACGTCTTACATGGTGGCAGGCAAAAGAAACAAAAGATACTGCTAAACACTTAAAGCATCAGATCTGGTAAGAACTCATTCACTGTCACAAAAACAGCATGGTAGAAACCATCCCCATGATCCAATCCCTTCCTACCAGGTCCCTCCTTTGACATGAAGGGATTACAAGCTGGATTACAATTCAAGATGAGATTTGGGTAGGGACACTGAGCTGAATCATATACATCTTCTCTTTCCCAAGTTGTCTAATGTTTTCCATAATGGCAAGTCCATTAGCTCAAGCCCTGACATGGAGCACAGTACCCCACCAACATGTGATGGATATATAGCAACAGCAAAAAATAAATATGTTGTTGGGGCCATTTGCTACTGAAATACAACCTAGCCCATTATGACTGATACACCGCTCATTTGCAAATAACAACAGTATGATTTTTATATAACATAAATCATTCACTCTTAAGTATTTACATTATTATTTCTTGAGGATTAATTAAGTGGTTCAATACAACAGTTCCTAAAAATGTGGGCTACTAGAAACACCTGTAATAAATCTGGACATTCATAAAGATGATTTCATGTGTTTACTGACAACTGACTCATGTAAATTGTCTAGTTTGGTCAGATTCCTAGGCCCTATATCAGCGCTATCAAAAAATACGTTTTCTAAAAATTGATTCTCATTTGTAAATAATTATGTCATAATACTAAAGCTAATTGTACGCATTTTCAAATTAAGGACTAATGCTAAAAAGTTAAACTAGGCCGGAACATGGCGGACCAGATTCCGCTCTATCCGGTGCGCAACGTCGCGGCGGCCGCAGCCAACCGCAAACGAGCGGCCTACTACAGCGCTGCGGGACCCGGGCCAGGAGCCGACTGGCACAGCAGCTAATGGAGCTTCAGAATCTAATGCAGGAAGCAAATATCAATCAAATAATCCACAAGTAAATGTAAATGTACCAGCTGGAGGATGAGTCTGCACATTTGGATGAAATGCCACTAATGATGTCTGAAGAAGGCTTTGAGAATGAGGAAAGTGATTACCACACCTTACCACAAGCCAGGATAATGCAAAGGAAAAGAGGACTGGAATGGTTTGTCTGTGATGGCTGGAAGTTCCTCTGTACCAGTTGCTGTGATTGGCTGATAAATATTTGTCAAAGAAAGAAAGAACTGAAAGCTCGCACAGTATGGCTTGGATGTCCCGAAAAGTGTGAAGAAAAACATCCCAAGAATTCTATAAAAAATCAAAAATACAATGTGTTTACCTTTATACCTGGGGTTTTATATGAACAATTCAAGTTTTTCTTGAATCTCTATTTTCTGATAATATCCTGCTCACAGTTTGTACCAGCATTGAAAATAGGCTATCTCTACACCTACTGGGCTCCTCTGGGATTTGTCTTGGCTGTTACTATGATGCGGGAAGCAATTGACGAATTTCGGCGTTTTCAACGTGACAAGGAAGTGAATTCCCAGCTATATAGCAAGCTTACAGTAAGAGGTAAAGTGCAAGTTAAGAGTTCAGACATACAAGTTGGAGACCTCATCATAGTGGAAAAGGTCGATGAATTTTTAATATATTTTAGACCTATATTTACTAGTTATTAATGTTTAGCCTGATTGCAAGTAACTTCTGAATTTGAAAGAAATTAAGACATGTATTTAAAATTATAATATCCTGTGTAAGATTTGGTGTATGTGAAGAAGAATCTAGATTTTTGTATATTCTGTTTTACTAAAGTATATTTCAGTGTGTGCAGGCAAATTGATTTTTTTCTAAAACAAGAAGTGTTAACTGCTTAATGTTGTATTATCAAGATTATTTTATGTCATCACAGAATTTTATCAGAACCTATTTATAATACTGTGCTTTAGTTTTCAGAACTTCAAATGGGGCTGGGCATCCAGAGGTTTAAAAAAAATAATAAAAAGACCATGGACTTAATGTAAAATGTTAAACTGCAAAACTTTTAGGAGAAAAACAAAATATTTAGAATCTAAGGATAGGAAAATATTTCTTAGACCTGATACCAAAAGAACAATGTGTAAAAGAAAAAATTGATAAATTGCATATTGTTAAAATTTAAAATGTGTGCTTTGTGAAAACCCATGTGAATACAATGAAAAACAAGATACAGATTGGGAGAAAATACTTTGTAATGCATGTATTCGACAAACATATCTATATGGAATATAAAAAAACTCCTAAAACAATATTTTAAAAAATTAATTAGAAAATGGGCTAAAGATTTCAAGAGACATTTTGACAAAGATTTACATATAGAAAATAAACACTTGGGCCGGGTGTGGTGACTCACACCTGTAACCTCAGCAGTTTAAGAGGCTGAGGCAGGCAGATCATAAGGTCAAGAGATCGAGACCATCCTTGCCAACGTGGTGAAACCTTGTCTTTACTAACAATACAGAAATTAGCTGGGCGTGGTGGCGTGCACCTGTACCCCTAGCTACTTGGGAAGCTGAGGCAGGAGAATTCCTTGAACCTGGGAGGTAGAGGTTACAGTGAATCGAGATCTCACCACTGTACTCCAGCCTGGTGACAGAGTGAGACTCTGATCTCAAAAATAAAAGTAAACACATGAACAGAAATTCACCATCATTAGTCATCAGGAAATACAAATTGAAACAATGAAATATCAGTATGCATCCATCAGTATAGCTACAATGAAAGCATGGTGACAAAACCAAATGTTGGAAACAGTGTGAAGGAACGGATCACTTGTATATTGCTTGTGGAACTGTAAGTAATATAATTATTCTGGAAAATCTCTACATAGTTTCTTAAAAAAAAAAATCCTGTGTAACTGTCATACTACCCAGCAGTTGCACTCCTGGACTTTTATCACAGAGAAATGTTAATTTAAGTTGATACAAAAAAACCTGTGCAGGAATGTCTTTATCTACATTATTCATAGTAGCTCAATTCCAGAAAGTCCATATATCCCAGGTGGGTGACTAGTCAGAGAAGCAGCTGTGCATTCACACCGTGGCATGCAGTGTCAGGAGAACACAGGGCTCCTTGCTTTTGTGGTGTCCCTCATCTTGAGGGGAAGGAAGAAGAAACAAAAAGTATCCAATAATTATTTGAAATTATCTAGTTTGTTTCTGAGTGCTCCATAGAAAATAAGACAGAATAAGGACATAAAGAGTCTGAATATGAAATTTTAAAAAATACCTATAAGGGCCGGACATGATGCACTTTGGGAGGCCAAGGCAAGAGGATCACATAAAGCTAGGGATTTGAGATCAGCCTGGACAACATAGAACAAAATTTAAAGAATTAGCCAGGTGCAGTGGCACACATCTGTTGTCTTAGCTGCTTGGGAGACTAAGGCAGGAGGATTGTGTGGGCCCGGGAATTCAGTACTGTAATGAGCCATGATCGTTGTTGAAACATATTAAACAGACCAAAGTAAATGTAAAGACAGCCCATGCTCATGGTTAGAAGTATATGTTGTTCAGAAGGCGGTGTTCCATAAATTGATCTATAGATTTAATGTTATCCCTCCCAAAATCCCAGTTGACGTCTTTGCAGAAATTGACAGGCTGACTCTAAAATTCATATGGATATTGTAGGGACTCAGAGTAGCCAAAACAATTTTGAAAAAGATGGACAAATTTTGAATACTCACATTTCACTATTTCAAAACTTGAATTCAGATTTATGGTAATCAAGACTGTGGAACTAGCATTGAGAGTCCAGAAATAAACTTTGAATTTATGGTTAATTGATTTTTGGCAAGAGTGCCTAGAAAATGTACCAAGGTGGGAGTGTGTTAGGGCGGGCGCTTTTTTGGCCCTATGTTATTTATGAGATACATCCATGTTGTTGTATGTAGTTGCTACCCACCCATTTTGGTGTTATATAGTGTGGTTTTTATCTGTTTCCCTGTTGATGTGTTTTTAGGTTACATCTAAGTTTTGCCTATCATGAATGATGCTTTTGTGTCATATTTGGCTATGTTTCTTGGTGCACACATCCACATATTGCTGTTGCAGGTGTGCCTAGGAGTGGCGCTACTGTTTTGGGACATGTAGTTCTGCTATGGTAGACCCTGCCCGTGATTTTGCAAAGCGGTGTGTCAGATTATACTCCAATCAGCAGTGCCTTGGCGTGTTTGCCAGCACGCACATTTTCAGCCTTTTAAAGTTAGCGTTTCTGATAAGTATGTGGAAGTGGTTTGAATGCATCTTTTTTTGAGTTCTAATAAGAACCAGTACTTTTTCATAGGATTTTGTGTGTCTTTCTTTTATGTGACAAGCCTGCTAAAATCTCTTGGCATTTCCCTTCTGAGTTATTCCTTTATCGGTTTGTGGGTCTGTATGTATTCTGGATTAGAGTCCTTTGTTAGTTATATATGCGTTGCAGATACCTTTTCTTTCCTGGCAGGCTGTGTTGAACAGAAATTCTTAAATTTAGTGAAGTCTGTTATATTAATCTTTTCATTTAAGGTTAATTTTTTAAGACAATTTTTGTTGATGATGGTCTTTATTAAGGACCCTTACCTACCAATAAGTCATGAAAATATTCTTGTAACGTTTGGTGAATGATGACAATTCAATGGGGAAAGAACTTTTTTTTTCTTTTAGGAATTTTATTGTTTTGGCTTTCACATTTAGAACTGTAATTCTAGTAGATTTTTGTGTTCACATTGAGGTCGAGGTCAGGTATTGTCTCCCGTCATCCCCTGATGGTGCTCAGTTTTCTCATTGCTATTGATTGAAAACACCATTGTTTTCTCATTGATTGGCAGTTTCATCTTTCTCAAAAATAGTGTCCATGTATATGTGGACCTATTTTTGGATGTCTGGTTTTGCACTGGTATAATTGTCTATTCTTCTTGTAATCACATCTTTTCTTAACTACTCTAGTTCAATCTAGTTTTATTCGGTTGTAGAGTTAATCCTTACGTTTAATTTCTCTCAACAATATTTTATAGTTTTTAGTGTAGAGTTCTTGCACATCTTTTACTGGTTTCATCCTAGTATTAGTTTTTTTTCCAAGTGTTAGAAAGAAATAGCTTTATCCAATAACTTAGCGTTTTTCAGCTTTAACATTTGTTTTTGTTATGTGTTGAGTGACAATCCATTTATTTGCATGGGTAGATAAGTCTTTACTTAGGTCTCAAAAATCATACGTAATTCATGACATTATGTTAAGTATTCTTATTACAATTATATATTGTTTCTTTAGGCTGATACAGCTTTCCTAATTGGTAGAACTATTAATGATAATGATTAAATGAATAGTGACTTGTAAAAGTTTTTCTATGCCATAAAATATCTTTGCGTTTTTCAAAAAAAAAAAAGTTAAACTAAATGTAACTCACAATGGTTTTATTCATGTATATTTACATATGTATGTGTTGAAGCTATCTTAAATAGACAGCAATAAAAGAAAATATATAATCCAAAAGCACTGATTATATCACAACAACTTTATATTGTTAGGTTTTTCTCCATGGTCATCTATCTTTACACTCCTAAAGGAAATCCTCACTTATATGTGTATGAGCTTATACCCATGTTTCCAGTCTTGTAGCATATTCATCTACAGGTATTGATCGACTTACCACCTATGCAACTTACGACCATTCGACTTTACGACCACAATCGCTAGTCACGACTGCTCTGCGTCTGGCAGCGCAAACGTTGCCCAGCTGGGTGTACGACAGTGCGGACCAGCTTCCAGCAGCACTACCATCTCAGCGTGCATACAGCCTACTCAACTTACGACCAAATCGTGTTACGACCGGTCTGTCGGAACCAATCGTGGTCGTAAGTCGAGCACTAGCTGTATTTTATTTCCAGTGCTGAGAACAAACCAGAAATGAACCCTTCAAACAATTCAAAACCCTAATGTTATATTGTAGAGAACAGTGCGTCCTTTACGAACTAGAAGAAAATCTATTCTGTATTAGCCCTTTATGTATTAAATGGTAGAGACTCTTACATTCGAAGTCAGCTATACCCAAGAGAAAGTTTAAGAGCATTGTGCTGTTCATATGCCTTTTAATGTTACTTTCTTCACTAACCTCAATATTTACACTTCATTAATATTAGCTGCTGGAATCTATTGACTATGCTTTGTAAATTTTTAATTTGCATGTCATAGCTCCGAATAGGAGTATTACAGTTTCTACGGTGAAACAAATGAACAGAAGAGGGGAAAAGTTAACATTTCCAAAGGGTTACGTAAAGACAGAACAAAAATTAAGTTGCTAAGGAAAGTAACATGCCAGTCATTGTCCAAAAAACCAGGGGAAACGGTTACCCAAAAGAGCATTTCACAGAGCTATGCACAGCCTGTTAGTGGACTGCTAGACAAACTGTCTTAGGCTAACACACCCTGGAATGAATCTATCTGATAAGGGGAACTTGCTTTATCATCAATTTAGTGTCAAGAAATCTGAAGGTTAGAAGAAGAACCTGGCTGGGAAAAACAGAGCGTGCTAAGACCACATGGAAGCCAGCTGTCAGCCACTTTCTATTCATACACTCTCTAGAGGAGACATGCTCTCACAAGAAACGGAAAATGATGTAAATGCCAAGCAGGAGGCTTTGTGCACTCCGACACGGCTCAAGTGGTTCAGGTTTCCGGGTGTTTCCCCAGACAGCATCTTCTCAGCCTCCCTGGCCTCTGTTTCTAAAATCTCCCTCGCACATTCCTATTCCCACTTAATGATCTTAGTCTGTGCCTATCCCAATTTCATAAGCTATGCATATTTCACTCTTCTTGTCTACTGTCTGTCTTTCCTACTAGAATACGGCCATGCAATACA